TGAGACCGCTTCCACTGCCCTGCCTCTCAGCTCCAGGGAATTCTGGGATCTGCAGTGTTTGTGAGGCATTTGGCCTTCTCTGCCAGAAATAAACTCTGGTGCCACAATAAACTACAATTCCCAGGATCCCCCAGCAGCACTGAGCCAGGGCACTGAAAGCGGTCCCAAACTGGATTATTCCTGCAGTGTGTTTTGGACCCTAGTCACCAGCACCAGTTCCGTCCCACAACAGAGACTGGAGCAAGGCGGTCATGCTCACCCAAGTTCTGAAGAAGTATAAAAATTAATTCAAATTTTAATTTCCTGGGTTGTGGCAGCTCTTCTTCTGGAATACAGGCCTTCTCTGGCTTTCTGACAGCTTCTCCATCAATCCTCAGAGGGATGCGGGTACGGACTGACTGCCTCCCAGGGATGAACATGCCAAGTTTTAAAATGTTCAAAGGTTTTTGTTTTTGTTTTTTAAGAGTTTCTGATTTTAAAGTCTTTTTTAACGCTTCACCTGGAAGGCTGGATAAAACCAGCTTGGATGGAGTTGTGATGGATGGACTCACGCGTCGGATGCGAATTTTGCCCTGGGAGCTGTCAAAAGGAGGAGAGCTGGGAAGCAGCATCCTTCCTCAAATGAAGCACCAAACAAGGATGTCTAAAATCTTTTTTTATTATTATTTTGTATTCCCCCCCCCCCAATATATATATATATATACATATTTCTGCACCCCAAACCACCTAAATGTTCTCTAGGAGTCATTCTCACTGTGTTTTTGGCCTTGGTTGTTGTTGTGTGCCTTCAAGTCATTTCTGACATATTGCAACCCTAAGGCAAATCTAATCATGGGGTATCACCAAAGGATGGAATGGAGATTGTACTGTTTTTCCATTAAAAAATCTCTCTTTTTAGGCTGTGGTTGTGTTGTTAGTGGACACACTATTTCAAATGACAACTGACCATACGGAACAGGGTTGGACTATTCCTTCCCTTGATCTGGAAAGCCTCTTGCAAAATTCTGGCTCTTGACTGGTTAAATTCATACACTAAACTGTTTCTTTAAACTAGATTTTGAGAGGCTAAATTGGTATCTGTGGGTGCATCTACACTGTAGAAATAATGCAGTCTGATACCACTATCTGCTGTGGCTACATCCTCCGGAATCTTGGGATTTGTAGTTTGATCAGACACCAGCAACAGAGAAGGCTCCAGACTTTGCAAAACAACAAATCCCAGAATTCCATAAGATGGAGCTACAGCGCTTAATGCAGTGTCAAACCGTGTTACAGCTAAATATAGATGCACCATCCTGGCCTGTATGGAAATTATAATGTCTGTTCAATCTGCCTGTGCACGCATAAGAAGATGTCCATAGAGACTAGATTGGTGTTGAGCAAGGCGTCTGACAGTAATAATAATAATAATAATAATAATAATAATAATAATAATAATAATTTATATCTTGCCCCTCTGTCAAACAATCGAGGCAGCTTACAACATTAAAATCAGCACAGTATAAAATACATACCCAAACCCATAACCCTTCCCACCCCTTAAAACAGAATTAAATCAAGAGAGAATTAAAACATATGAGTTAAAATCAATTTAAATTATAAAAAGTCTAGATGGTGGTAAAAGACTGAACAAAGACAACGAGTTAAATAGAGATACAGCAGGTCAATTAAGAATAGGACTCTGGAGGCATTCTGCATTTTCTCAACCCAGCATCCCTGCTCATGTGCAAAGTGCAGAAGATGTGTCAGAGCTCTTGCTTGCAATACTTCTGGAAGCGTGGAAGGGTATGGGTACATGCTCTTCGACTGTTTTGATCCAGCAGAGAGGAAATCCACTTAACTTTCCCTTCTCCCAGCATCTCTGTTATTGCAGCTCAAGGATGATAGACATAAAGTACATGGGATTTTGGCAGCGTGGGGCTCTTCAGTGCAAATTGCTAGTTCCCGTCCAACTCATGCAAGTGGAGATGGCCAATTGTTCACCCATCAGCGTAATTGCTGTCAAGATGAGAATGAAGAGCAGTTGCTGGAGACCTGGGAACTTGTGTGTCCACCCAACAGACATGGTTTCTGATACTCTCTTGAAGGAAGCAAGGGAGAAGTGTGCTCTTCATCATCATGATGCAGATTACAACGCCTTTCAGGGCCATGCTTTCAAGTCACCTCCGACTTACAGAGGCTGTCTCCTAGGGTTTTCTTTTTAGATTTATACAGGGAGGTTTCCTATGAGGCTGAGAGAGTGTGGCATGGCCAAGGTCACCCGTTGGGTTTCCATGGACAAGCAGGGATTTGAACTTTGATCCCTTAGAGTCCTAGTCCAACACTCAAAACCATTGCACCACGTTGGCTCTCCTGTTAATACATTAGACACATCGCTGATCACATTTTAGCATCACAGGTCTGAGGCTGCATCCTCACTGCAGAAATAATCCAGTTTGACACCACTTTAACTGCCATGGGTCAGTCTTATGGAATAGGTCATCCACCATGGCAAACAAATCCATTTCTGAAACCAGAGTGAAATAGATCTGGGTAATCTGTTTCATCCAGAAACTAACCATTAGGTGGAAACTAAGCCATTGTGGTGTAATGGTTTACGCATTGGACTATGACTCTGGAAACCAGGGTTCAAATCCTGGCTTGGCCATGTAAACCCGATGGGTGACCTTGGGCAAGTCACACTCTCTCAGCCTTTCTCAGAGGAGAGCAATGGCAAACCTCCTCTGAAGAACCTTTCCAAGAAAACCCCATGATAGATTTGCCTTAAGGTCGCCATAAGTCAGAAACAACTTGAAGGCACACGACTTCAACAACTAACAGAAACTGTGTGTGTTGCCACTGTTAATTCCAATGGGAAAGGGCTGGATAAAAATGGAGAGCATCTCGCCAGCAAGGCTGCTGCAAACATTGAGTGCCTTTTGAAATATCCAGAAGCAGGTGACACTTTGCCGTCTCTAAAATTAAGATATTTTGGGGAGAAAAGGAGAACCATCAATATGCCAGGGATGACTGTTGCTGCTGTAGCCAGTTGGAAACTCATTAGCTGCTCTTTGTTCTTCCCATATATATATATATATATATATATATATATATATATATATATTTAAATCCACTTCATTAACCTTCTGTTCCATCCTTTCATATATAACAGTTTCCAGCCTTGTTGGAACAATGGCCGTTCTTTTACTGAGCCAAGGCATTGCAACTCTTAACAGGTCATGGAAATGGCCCCTTTTTACTGTTTACTCCGGGAAAATCTCATATATCCTCCCCACCACCATTAATACATTTGGAAAGTTTTTCTTAAATGGGATTGCAGTGTAGGGAAGAGTTATTTTGCCCAAGTGTCATTCCAGCATCTTCATTTTGACCTTAGACTTCTTAGACCTTTGACTCCTTAGAAATTTGAGAGGAATAATCTCAGCTCTGGTCACTAAAAACAAGTGTTCAAAACACTAATTATGATGGATCATAGAATGTTATAACTGATAAGAGGTAATTGATAAAATATATTACAGAGGAATGATAGTATAGAACAGAGAATATGGAAAAAAGGAGAAATCTGAAAGTGGATAAATAAGAGCATTATATATTCCTAAGTAAAGGAAGGGAAGTTTCTTTTATGTAACGTTTGTATATGTGATATATGTTAAGTCCTATATGTTTTAGATATTTAGATATAATGTATGTCTTGATTGTTTATGTCTTATGTATGTTTTAATATGTGGAAATAAAATTTTAAAAAAGAAAGTAGGGAGGAGGACTAGTAAAGCTGCAAAATCATGGATCCAGATAACACAGTTACCAGTTTCAAAAGTATAATTACAAACAAAGTGGATGGGGAGAGAGGAAAAACAAGGAGAAAAAAAGGTTACTTTTTTTAAAAAAAATAAAATAAATAAGGATGTAACAATGACACATTCCAAAGCTAGCAAAAGTTACATTGTGATGCATGTGCAAACAGGACATTGTGAGCAGTAACAAAGTGACCAAAGTTACTTTATTAAGGCAGGGAGTAATGTTCTCTAGTTACTTCTTAATGGCCTTTTAAGATGTTTTTGAAGCCATTGTGACAGCCTATCTTCCAGGGTTTTTAAAATCATTCTTTTACAGGTTGAGTCTCGCATATCTGGAATTCCAAAATCTGAAATCATTCCAAAATCCAAAACTGTCCATATGGATGGTTGAGATAGTGGCACCTTTGACCTCAACTAGGATATTATGGGCAAAATACTGGAAATCTGAAAAAGTACCACTGATTGATCAATCGTTATTGAAATTAGTGTGAAATGGATAAATTAACAGCTAGATTAAACAATAAAAAATTGAATGTTATTGAAAAAGAATGGAACCTCATTGTATTTTACTATGTAAAAGGAAATGGGAAACTTAGTTAAACAAGAAGGTAAGGGAAGAATAACCATTAAGAGTTGAGCTTAATGGATTTCAAGCTGTTGAGACTGAAATGACAGGAAGTCAGAAGTTGAGGATATTGATCTAAAATAAATGTTCTGTGAAACCAGATGAAGTAGAAATTTAGGAAGTAGTGAAAGTTGTTGCTTTCTTTTCACATTTATGGTTAATTCTCTGATACGTATAATGAAATGGACACTGAAATATGTAAAGCTGTCAATTTGAATCTGTATAGGTATGTTTTAATAACTAAAAAAAATATAAAAAATAAAATAAATTTTAAAAAGAGATAGTGGAACCTTTGCTTTCTGATGGTTCAATGCACACGAACTTTGTTTCATGCACAAAATGAGTTAAAGGTTGTGCAAAAAGTTACCCTCAGTTACCTGTGTATGTAAGGTGTCTATGAAAGGTAAATGAATGTCAGGCTTGGGTCCCATCTCCATCACGCGCAGCATCCATTAACCTGCGTCTCCGTCTCTTTGCAGATCATAGGCCTTGTGATCTTGTGCGTTGGCATTTATGCCGAAGTGGAAAGGCAGAAGCACCGGACCCTGGAGGGGCTCTTCCTTGCTCCAGCCATCCTCCTCCTCCTCCTGGGCATCACCATGTTCGCCGTCTCCTTCATCGGGATGGTGGGCTCCCTCCGAGACAACCGGACGATGCTGAAAACTGTAAGGATGCTCATGGCTCCCTTTGGTTCATCCTTCTGCACCCATGGTCCTCCCCAGCTCTATACCTCCATTGCATTAGAATGAGAGACACACAGTGAGAGAGAAAATCTTGTGAATTCTTGTTCTAAGGTGATGAGAAATTACTGCTTATTTTATTAGTAGTATTATCTCAGTCTCCCAGGTGTTACTGACTGGAGTTTTGGTCCAAAACACACTGCAGAAATGATGCAGTTTGAGACCACTTTAACTGCCCTGGCTCAGTGCTAGCGAATCCTGGGCATTGTAGTTTTTTGGGGCACCAGAGCTCTCTGACAGAGAAGCCTCAATGTCTCACAGAACTACAGTTCCCAGAATTCCCTAGCATTGAGCCAGGGAAGTTTAAGTGGATTATATCTGCAGTGTGATTTGGACCAGTGTGTCAGAGACTGCCCAAGAATCTAGGAATCCATGAGATATCGTCAGATAATGTGGACATAGGCTGCATCCACACTGCAGAAATAATCCAGGTTGACGCCACTTTAACTGCCACGGCTTAGTGCTCTGGAATTCTGGGAATTGTAGTTTTGTGACCTCTGGTGCTACAACAAACTGCAGTTCCCAGAATTCCAGAGCATTGAGCCCTGGCAGTTAAAGAGGTGTCAACCTGGATTGTTTCTGCAGTGTGGATGCAGCCTTAAACCCTTCTTTTTCACCTTCCATTGAGAAGAGACAGACCATCAGGGAGAAAGCTTAGGGCTCTTTCAAGGGTGGCACCATCATTGTAGAATTTGGGTATCTTGCCTTTTGCCAAGGGAGACCTCAAGATGCATTCCTTCTTGTGCTTCAGGCAGTTGATGGAGCTCATTAATAGAAAGTTGCTTTATTGTGAGACAAGGTGGTACAGTGCTTTTTAAAATTATTCCATATATATATATATATATATATGCAATATATATTGCAATATATATATTGCATGCAATATATATATTCAATCAATGCAATATATA